AGGGCTCAGAGTTAGGATCTTTGTTCTTATAGTAAAGGGATGTACTATATATATTTTCTAACCCCTTTAGTTAAAATTAATATTTTCAAAATTATGCTGTTTCACAATTTCTGGGTTGGACACATATGGGAGCTCAAATGTGTTACTAACCTTCACTTTCCTTAAGGAGCAAACTAGCCTAAGTTAATCATGCTTAATTGGTTCTCTTACAGGAAAAACAACATTGTTTTTACTATGCGAGTCAAGTTATTCTTGTTGGGGAATCAGATAACAGTTGCTAATGGAATTGCCCTTGAGCTTCACTGTCCATTAGCATTTCTCTTTTACATTCTCAACTAATTTACAGGTGGAAGAACTCGTACCAGCAAGAGCTTATTGTTTATTAGCCTTCACCACTTTGCTATCTTACACTTTTCTATTTAAAACACAAATAATTGCTTACCAAACTGCAAACTGTATTGCTGTTTATTGTATTGCACTGCATTGTTGTTTGGACTTAAACTGTGAGAGTATCATCACATATTTGTACTTTGTGTAAATCTATGTCTTGTCTCTTTCATTGTGACTTAACTATCATAACTCATCAGGAAATATATATATATATATCCAAGTCCTGGATCCAAGAACCTCATGTTATTAGTAAGTCTGATTTTTGTGCTTTGCGTGTTATCCGCGAGATACATTGTTTTTGATTTATGTCAATGCTACAGACTAAAGAATGGTCAATAAAAAATTTAAAATTGGTTATAATATTAAGGTTTTAGGTATTGCTGGATGTGAGGAAGATATTTCTGCTTTACAAAAGAATTTAAAATATTTGATGAGTTGGGCAAACAAATGCCATATGGCTATTTAAACTCTATAGTAAATTTAAGGTAATGCATGTGGATTATCATAATTTGATTTATAATTTTTAAGGAAATAACCATAAGAATGTTATGGAAGAAATGGATAATGATGTTTTGGTTAATTAATCTCTTAAGCTATCCAAGAAACTTGCTTTTGCTAGTGACAAGGCTAATGAGATTTTAGATTATATCTACAGAAGTATAGAATACAAGTCTAAATAGGTTATAATTTCATTGCAAAGGTCACTCATTAGGTCTCATTTGGAGTAATAAATTCACTCTTAGACTTTTTACCTTACAAAGGACATTGAAATGTTGAAAAAGGTTCAAACGAAGGCTATTACTACTACTGCAATGATACCTAGTATGGAAAAGTTGTCAAAAAAGGCAGTTAAAAATAATAGCTCTTGAAATGTTCTTTAGAAAAGGGAAGAGTTACAAGGGATTTGTTTGAGGTGTTTAAGGAATTTATTATTTATAACATCAATGCATTATCTTACTTAATGGTGAGAATGATAAGACTATAGGACACAAATTTTGGCAGGATACAATTCATCTTCAGCTCAGTCTTTGAATTTGACAGTTTTATTTCTTTAACAGGGTGGTTAACTTTTGGAATGAGTTGTATACAATAAATTCAAGAGAGTTTAAGGGAAAAATCAATATATCAAATGATAAGGAATGGCTTTGGTTTTTTCTTCTTTTCTGTAATTTAGTTCAGTTGATGGTAAAGCTAAGCTAGAACTTATACTACAGTAGACGGCAGATGATCCAAAACTCAAAAGGGTACTTGTTTTGTCTATGTCCTTAAACTTTAAAGTTAAACTATTAACATTTATATGTTATGTTAATACCAAATAATAATTTTTATCTACATCATAGATATAAATAAGTTTACATACAAAGACTTGACGAATACTAACTCTAATAATAGTGATTTGGTAGAGCAAAAGACTAACATTATATCATACTTCTTGCGTAGTGGTGTTGAAATTTAACAACAATAAAAACGGAACATAGTCCGAACTCCACAACTGCCAATATAACCTGCCATCTGGTATCATTTACCTTATTTACAGCTGAAATATGCAATTCAAATTATTAACAATTAATTAACTCGTATTGTAATTATAGATTTATTTTTGCAGGGTAGGAGTCATCTTTAACTAAGACAGTTTTACTTTACTTACAGGGTAGTTGGCCTTTAAAATGGGTCGTCATTAGATGTGGTGGTGCAGTAAACATAACGGAGTTTACGAGCAGATGTTATAATATTAGTTGACAAAGGCTTCGGAATCGGGGTTGCTGTAGCGCCCCACTTTTACATATTTCACTAATATAGCAACTGTAAATTATATTATATTATTATAAGCCCCTAGGTTGAGCTGCCTTTGGTAGCATGGGAGCTGCTTTTAGCAGCTCATTATTCTTGCAATCTCCCATTGTAAAATCTGCATATCTAGCCAAGTACTCCCACTTCGACACTCCTTCCTATACCACCAATTGATAAGGGCTGGCTTTGATATTTTTTTTTTTTATTTTGTTGTTGCTTAGTTTAGTTTAGTGGATTGAACATCTTAAATGGACCAGTAGGCCTCTTTGTGTCCTTAAAACGTGTAATATATTATGTTTAGTTTGTGGCTAAAACAGTAAACCAATATAACGTCAAGACGACAAGGGGTAAATTGGTCCTTCCTGGCCGTTCTTACATAATCACACCACCAAAAAGAGTAAAAAGTTAAACTCACCATTTATGTTTAAGCTTTTGTTTGTAATTAAGCACAAAGCTACATAATGGGCTATCTGTGTTCTGCCCTACACGGGTATCGAAACCCGAATTCTAGCATTGTAAGTCCTTAGACATGCCACTGTGCCACTTGGGGGCATTTTTAAGCAATCGCCGATTCCTCTTTAAGCTCTTGATTGTCTTTTTCAGTTCGTAATCCTTATTTACATTAAACAAAAAGTCATAAGTTTTTGTATAGAAAGTGAAATTCATAATACTTTGTTAAAGGAACAGTTAGGCCACACCTTGCTTTATCACCAGATTAGTGTCATTGTGTCAGTAGTTTTGATCATCTGCTTAACAAATGTTTTATTATATTTAGTAGTAATGTAATAATAATAATAAATCACTAACGCTTTCAAAAGGTAACCTATTGTAGTATGTAGGCATACCATATCCTCTACTATTGTGATATAACTTTTTAATTCAAAATTCCAGTTCATCGCCAATCAGAGCACAATCCTGGTTCTGGCCAAAAGGACAAATAATGAGTAGACTAGAAAAGCTGGATGAGTCAGTTGACCTTCACAGTCAGAGTTGTCTCCCTAAAAGGTGAGATGATGGACACACACAGGTAAAGACTGTGAATCGTTGCTGAAGGTACCTAGATAGATTGATAGAATCCCAATCAAATTGACAGGAGCTCCTGACAACTGGAACTAAGCAGGGCTGTATGACAAGCCACCACAGGCCATCATGGAATATTGGGTAACTGCTCATTGGAGTGGTGAGGTACCAGTAAATAGTTTCCATGAAGAGCTGATAAGATTAGGAACACCTCCACCTGGTGTTCATAAAGTTAGCCTTTGAGGGAGAGGTTTTGGATTGACATGCAAGGCCAGTAAATGTGACAAAACAAATCACACTTGTGATCTTCAAGGGTTGAAAAAAGAAGGATTTGGATCAGCTTTTGATATGTTTCAAGTAGGTGACTGCTGGAATGAATGGACAATGGTGCTGGCAGTCCAACATATGGTCCTGAACCTTTAAAGTCAAGTCCTGGGTGTTGCTCGCTACCTGGATGAAGTATAGTTAAACGAGTGTAAACCGTTGAGGATGAGCTGCATCACAGATTCAATGTGCTGGAAAATAGAGCAATTTAAGAAGCCAAGTTTAAGGCTTAAAAGAGATGCATCACTGAAGGGCTTTCCAACTACACAGACAAACAATCAGCATTAATTGCACGGGAAGGTATACTCAGCAATGGTCACAACAAATTGGAAAGATATACTCATAGATAAATTGATTGAGTGGCTTCCCAATAAACTGATGTAACAATATTTAAAGGTGAAGAATATTTTCACCATTGCTGAAGCCATGTCTACCACGTTACACTTTGAGGTGCTGGAAAGGAAAAAGCCCACACCAACCACTGTGGTGATAACTGTGTTGTTGAAAGGAACATAAAAGGTGTCTCGATCATAACTGACCAAGTGAGCTAAGTGATTCTTATCTGTAAATAATACAGTAGTTCCGAGTCAACTCGCCTTTATTCTTCACTAACCTCTGACCAGTTGATCGAAAAATCACCGTTTTGTTGTGTCAGGAACTTCAGGGTGTATTGACATATTTAAGATTGTTTGTGTCTGAGAAAGCAGATTTTACATTAGAATCAAAGATATTTTCTACTGATTTAATATAAGTTTTATATATACTTATGGAGGATTTTGTGTGTTCTTATTCTGTTAACTTGTTTTTATCTCATTTCAGGAGAACTTCTGTGTTAGATTTTTCACCTTTGTCCAGGACGAGTACCAAAAGATTCTCGCAGCGATTCAAACTTGTTTATATTCACTTTACACAAACGAGTTTTAGAGTTAGATTTACTTTCATGTGAAGCATAGTTGTTAGAGCATTTTTAAGTAAAGGTTTCTTGGATTCCACAGCTGTGTTGTATTTACGTACATTAAAGTGAGAGTATCTAAACTCGAGGTTATTTTTATTCAGTGGTTTCATTTTACGTAGCCTAGCTTATAAGGATAAGTAGAAAGATCAACATAATTTTTTTTCCTTTAGCTCTTCATTAACTCTTGCTAATCCTATACTTTGTACTTAAAGCTTTAAAATATACACAATCGCTTATTTATTCATTGTATTGTTGTGTATTGTGTTAATGCATTATTGTTTATTTGCATTGTTGACTGTGAATTATTGAATATTTGTTTTTTTTTGTATAAATCTGCATGGAGCCTCTTTGTTTGTCACTCAATTGTTGCAACTCATATGCACCCAAGATTCAAAACCTATAGCTATTAGCAGGCCTACCTTTTTATTTCTGTTTTGTTGATTATTCACAAGATAACACAGAAAGGTGAAATGTTGGGCCTGTTGCCATAAGATCTGGTAGTTGTAGATGTAACCTACTAATGGGAATAGTAAAAGAATTCTTAATAAGTAAGAATACCAAGGAAATTGCTGAAATGGCAATTTCTGCACCATGGGAGTTATATGACATGAGAGATGATGAGCTGCTTGAAGAAGTAAATGGGTCATTGAATAGGTTGGTTTTATTTGGGAGAAGCCCTCTCATGGCTCTGGGACTTTTACCAATGGTGTAAAGGTCCCTTGAAGCCAACACCCTTTAACCTATCACTCAGAAACGAAGCCTATCTGGGGCAGTGTATTCTGTATGATGGTGTGTGATAGAGAGATTAATTGACAAGCTGAGGATTCTGAGACCCACTGGGGTGGTCTCCTTAAAACTCTTAGCAAATACTAGCCAATGGATAAGAACCCCACTGTCTCACTTTGGAGTGAGATGAAATACATTTAACATCATGAGCTGTTCCGCTGGAAAGCAAGATAACAAGCACTTGCCAACAATGAGATTGATGGTTAGTAGACTATATAGCCAATTTGAGAGGAGAGGCCAACTGCCGAGTAAATGAGTCACAGGGCATCTTCGGTGGATGTGCGTGACCAACAGAAGTTGTTTTACCCATTGCTCTGACCACGAGCCCCATTATGACTGTTTGACAAGTGATGGTGATCACAGGAATTTCTCTGCATAGAGAGATACCCTACCTTATCAAGATCCAGAATGAAAAAAAGCAAACATAGCATGGAACAATGTGTGAATCTTCTCTGAGAAAAAAGGCAACTGACCACTTAGCCCTTAGTCACAGGTTACCATCAATGAGTTTCACAACGTTAGAAGATGAGCCAGAAAGTCCTCACTGGATATGACAGCAATCAGTGGGCCAGTTGGAACCTCTCAGAGAAGAGATATACCCAGATGCCACACCAATGAAAATAGAGGCACAGCAGGTTGATAAAGTCCACTTCAGTGATCTTTATCTCCATTTGATAACACAGCATATATCCCCTTATTAAAAAGTGGAGGAAAGTACCCAAATGCGGCATGGTCGCGAAAGGACGGCATCAAAGATGAAAAAGTCCATTACAGCAAACCATATCACTGTCTGGTGATGCAGTAATTGTCTTCATCATATGAGATTGGAAAGTGGAACTGGCAAGAGCTTCTTTAAGAAGAGAGGCAAGTTGCTGACGCAACTGAAAGTTGTATGGTGATATGGAGTCTAGCAGGACACTCAGAGTCCCAAGTTGGCATTTGTCTAAGTGTATGACTCTAGGTCACTGAAATATCAAGTGTACCTCCCATATATCAGACAGCCACGTTCAAAACACATTGTGGGGTACTATGTAACAGATCTGCATCTAGACCGTGTACATATGTGGTTGGCACAAAGCAGATCTCCCCTGTCATATTCAAGGGAGCAAGAAAAGCAGGTTCTGGCATTGAATTGCCAGGAACTATTGGTTACAGGAACAGGAGATGTTGTGTCTGTTATTATGTCTGCATGGTCCAATGCTTGATGTTGTTGAACACTTACTGGAGGAGATGTTGGCTGATTTTAACTCAGTTGTGGCTGAGTTATGCTGATAGTTTGATCTGGTGGAAAACTGAGCCTTCCACTCTGCCAAATTTAAGGCTTTCAGATGTATTTGACTATGATTTGTGTTACCTGCATGGAAAAGTGTATCCTTCAGTGGTGGCTACAGATTGCAAATACATCCTAGCTTGCAAGTTCATTGACAGACTTCTGAGTGACACAATGAGGCATCACTTGAGTGTGTGTGTGACATCCATGTTCTAACAAAGGCAGTGTTGGCAGCAATGAGGTTTGAGGTGACTACCTTGGACTGAGCATTGCTGAAGATAAGGAAGCTGATAGCATCAGCTATCAGGGCTCATCTTATTACGAACTGCCCAATCCATAGTGGTGTACAATGCCAAGTTTGCCTTCTGTTGAAAACAAACCAAAACTGGCACAGCAAGGAGCTAGAATACAAACAGGCTGGTATCCAGCCCCTAGGAAATGGTATCCAGGCACCTCCACAATGTAAGCACCAATACAACAGGAATACCAGTGCAAATGTGGCAGAGACCAGTTGTTGCCATGAGTGAAGCTCCATAGAACTAACGGAATCTGAGTTAAATCTATCTCCCAACTCATGAGGGCATAATAGTCTGTGCCAAAATATGTTGTGGTAAGCCCATCTTTGTCTGGGCTGAGTAGTACTTAATATATGTCTGTGCATGTGCATGGTAGGACTGTGGAATTCCTGGTGGACACAGGAGCTTCAACAACCCTAGTAGACACTGCTGTGTATCAGGCACTCCAAGTGAGGCTACCACTCTAGCCAGTGGTCACACATTTCATTCTGGCTACTTGACGTGGAAAGAGAGACAAGTCTCATCTTGCATTTGGGTCGGGTGAGTCATAGGACAAAAACTGTTGTCATAAACTTAGGATGTGTGATTGGCATTCTAGGGATGGAATTTAGTTTCAGTGGAAAATCTGTCCAATGCTAATCAAAACCCAATGGTAGTCAATGGACAACTTGTATATATATAGAAAAAGGAATTATTACAGTACCTGCAACACACAAGAGGTGTGCTATAGTTTACTGAGAACATGAATGCATGTGTTTCTGTTTGTATTACACTGAGCCAGAAGGTTAGATGTCTCTAAGTTGTTTTGCAACTACAGTTCATTGGCACTCCAGCTTCTTGCTAGAATATTCATTGGCATGTCAAGCACAGCAGAGCAGTCTGACACTAGCAATGATGCTAGGGCTCCTTCTGTTACATGAATGTTCATGCTCTGCTCCCAGCCCACCTGAGATCGCTAGTTGAGGATTGCAGAAGTAGTCTGGACTCAACTCAGTACCAGAGTCTCAGTGACTTACTGGTTAAGTATGCCAATATTTTTGTTTGACTGAATGGCCAACTGGGGTTAGAAACTTCATCACAGATACAGGTCATAGAGTCCTATTAAACAACTACACTGCCAACTTTCCTGGAGCACTAGGAAAATAGACAGTAGTGGGATAAATTGAATGTTAAAGGATGGGATAACCCAGCTCTCTGAGAGGGTATGGTCATTCAGTACTAATTGTCAGGATTTGCCATGGGATTTGTGTTGAATGTTGGCTACCAGTCTCTAGATATTAACAAGTCCAACTGGATGACGAGGGCAGAGCCAAAACGGCTTTCAGCATTTGAGGTCTGGATCATAGCCTTCAGGCTGTGTAATGTTCTAACTACTTTTGAAAGGTTAAAACAGCTAACAATTAAACATTTTCAATTAGAGAAGTGCTTGGTATATTTGGGCGATATCTTGGTATTTGACCAAATGTTTGAGTCTGTTGTAATCAGCCTCTCTATGATTTTACATAGTATTGCGTATGGACAGCAGGGTAAACGCTAAAATCCAGAAAATGTGCACTTATACATGCATCAATAGTTTTTCAGTCATATCATGGGCAAAGAAAGTGCCTCAACGGACCCTTCAAAGATCATAATGGCCTGACTCATGAAAAAGAAGAGTAAAAGCTTCTTTGAGTTTGTGTTGTGTATCAACGTTTTGTGGCAAAATTTTCCAAGGTAGCAATACTCATGTCTGCCATCATTAAAGCTAAAGCTCACTTCAGGTGATCTGCATAGTGGAAGCACATATTCCTCACCTTGAACTGATCTTTAATGGAGGCACCTATCCTAGCATATCCAAAATAAGATTGTTGGATACAGCTGCCAGTGATAGTGGAGTTGGTGCAGTGCTGTCACAGAGATTGGGTGGAGTGAGTAAATGCATATATGAGTAGTACTCTTACTGTCCCAGCATGCTGATACTATATCGTAAAGAAATAACTCCCTTCAATTGTAGTATTCGTGAAGCACTTCTACACTACTTATATGGCAGAAAGTCCACTTTCAGAGTGGATCATGTGTCACTGAAATTGTTCATAAACTTTAATAATGAGGAGGGGGTGACTGCATGCTGAATGACAACATTGCAAGAATATGACAAGATCAACAACATTGCTCAGGAGCTTAACACAACAATGCTGATGGATTATCTTACCACACAATGAGACCATGCTCATTTGTTCAATGTCCTAATCTGGGACACTGAGCTGAAACTGTGATCATTTTTGCTATTGTGGTGCAGAACCAAATAGTCAGTAATTTCACAGGTGATTCTTTAATATATCTCACCATTTATACTCTCCAGGAAGAGCAACTGAGTGATCCTGAATAAGCATTGATACTCCTTAATTCGAAGCAAGGGAGCATATGCCCAGTGCAGGTTTAGGAACTTGGTATAAATGCATATCGTTTGTGACCTTATACAAGCAATTGCAAGTATACAATGGTGTGTTATACTGCTACTCATGATCATTAAGATGTGGAAGTTGACCTATGCTACATCTCTTGATCTCTCACACCCTGTGGAACCAGATTCTCCTAACTCTGTATGACACAAGGAATAAAGGTCATACTCTTGCTAACATCTGACAATGACACTACTAGCCAGGAATGAATTGTGATGTTGAGTGCAGTGACAACACTGTACGAACTTCACAAAGTGGGTCAAAACATATCAAATGGTTGACACACTAGAACAGTCTGTTGCTGATATGTTGGCAGAACAATGGACAACTGACTGTTAAAGTTCATTGCCCGAGCTGTGTGCATCTTGAGAGATTCATATTAATTAGGTAAAGAGCTTCAACAGTCAGTTGTTCTCTCAGTTGAGTGAGTCACTGGATGTGGTGAAGAATTTAACTTCATCATACCACGCAAAGTCCAATGGTTTGGCTGAATGGATGAATAAGCAGATACTTGCCAGGTACATAAGCCCTGGTGGAACCAATGACGACCTGTTGTAAATAATGAAAGTGTACTATTCAACTGAGATTTACTTAACAATGCAAAGCAACATTCTCTGTGAACTTGAAGTACAGCCCAACTCCTAATTCAGAACATTAATTTCCTTCGGGCATATATGGAATAAATTAGAGCAGCCATGACTAATGCTCCACCAAAAAGAGGATGCCATGAAAAGACATTCAGGGAGAAGTACTTCTAGCCTGGAGACTAGATGTGACATTAGTACACACCTGCAGCATAAAAACACACTTGGCCCTGATTGAATTTGTCCCTATCTAGTAT